ATCCGTCTGCATGTCAAATTTACAGTCATACTGCTTCTACTGGTTATTTGGATTTGTCAAAGGAATAATTGTCAATATTAGAATAATTAATAGGAATAATGATAATTTTCAAAGGATATTTTTGCAGGGATTCCATTGGTTTCAAATTAGATCAGTAATTGGCATTATTGTGTTGGTCTGCTAGGTGTCACCTTGGGGAATGTAATCAAGGAACTGACAACGGGGCGAATACCTCTACCTATTGGAGATATATAGCACAAATCCCAGAAAAAATAAGACTTGACAAAGCTTCTCAAAGTCTAACTCAGAACCAGACATAACCAGTAGACAAGTCTAAGTCGGATATGACGAAAAATACCGGACAATGACATCTGCTGGGACTGGCGAAAGTTAGAATTCATCGACCGATCAGTGAATCGGGTGCAACAAGACTTTTTATTCAACAGGTTTGACGTCGTTATCTGAAGCTTTAGTTCTTGATGAGGTAATGGGTGTATTCTACTGAAAAGAGTCCCAAACAAGGACGAAACACCTGTTTAATACTTCCTGCTGGTCTCCACTGGTTCTCTAACTGATAACAGGTCACAATCTCATCAGAAATAATCATTCCGAAACAAAATGATAACTCCATTAGTCATCTAGAAGTTTGATAAGGATGCCACTGACTTCTGTGATGTGTAATTATTTTTAGGTTTTGAGTATCATTCAGTCGTCTTACGTAACCCTTTCATGTGCATCAGTACAATTAAAGGTGAAGAGAAAATGACAAGTAATGACTAACTCAAATTCCCACCTAGAAATTTGCACAGTTCTAGGTGGAATCTCACCACGGAGTCTTTCCGAAACTGAAATTGTTCAGAAAACGCCAGTATATAATCTGCCTGATACCATAAGTGGCAGTCAGCAGAGTAAGCATGTATATAGTCAATTATTAGTATGTAGAGTTATGCACAAATAATGTTTATCTCATTTGTGTGGTTAATTATTGTACTTTTATATACTGCTTGACGGTTCTAGGTGGTAAGAGGCCTCTGGTAGTAAGCCCCCATCTTGTTATTATGTCTATCAAAAGTCTGCAAAAAAACGTATCTGTAGCAGTAAATGAAGTGATATCCTGTTTAAGATTTGAAGCCCATATCACCCTGTTCTATAGCCAGGACTGCTGACACTGAAATGTTTGGTCTGCGATAGCTCGTCTGATAGCTTCAGTGCTACACTGAAGACTTTACTGACAGAATTTAGTCAGTGCTGAGGATATAACATCATGAAAATAGTTAATCCGTAGTGACTAGTTATTGTGTAACTCTTGAATAGTGCGAAAACATTCATTCAGACATCTATAAAACGCAAAATAACTGAGCCAAGAATATCCTTTTCGATAATTTCCTATTCTGCCTCTACAATTATAAATATGTTTATACACACAGAATATTCTAGATTAGTAGTCAATAACAATATTACTGCTTTTTAAATAATATCAATTTGTTAAGTAAGATCGCAATGCAATTACAGTTCATTAAAGATGTTTAAATAATAATAAAAATATAGTAGCAAATAGAATATCAACTCAAGTTAGGAAAATTCCACAAAAATTTAGGATCATTCAAACCTAAGTGGCTTTGAAAGCTGCTTCGTTGACATCAATCTTGTGTTCTGTATCCACAAGATGAGATAGGATAGCACCTGCGAATAGATTTTGTTTGTCCTTTACTTGACCACACAGAAGATGTTTGGAAATCCGACGAGAAACACGCCTAATTTTAGGGCCTATGTGACTGGCTCCACAGGAGCAGTTAAATTGGTAGATACACACAGAAGAGGCGAAATTAGGCAGTTTATCTTTTACTTTCGAACGCAAAACAAGAGTGGCTTTGAAGAGACAGAGTAATTCAGCAGCAGGAAATGCTCTTCGCTTTACCGCATTTCTAAGGCGCTATGTTACTATCCTGCTGATGTTGTCCCCAATGAACTGCATTTGAAAGAATAATGCCTTTTTAGGAACTGTTGGTACCTTGGGCTACTTTGATTTTGGATTCATATTCTTATCAATAAACTTTTCTGGATAACCATTTTCACTCAGCAACCGTTTAATATCGTTAAGTTCCTCATCAAGACATTCATCCGAGCAGATTGCTCTTGCTCCGTGAACCAAGCACTTGATATATATATATATATTTAATGCCACATTTAATATCTAAGTACATGGCAAAAAGGTTTTTCACTTTACATTCACTTCACATTAAGTAATTCTTGACATCATTTCACTGATTTCCTATTGTCCTAAGTCTTTCATCATCATTCGATGAGTCTGATAACTGCGTGTTGTATTAATGCCTAAAAAGTTCTTTGTGCGCTGGGGGCTCAGTAGTAGAATACCCATCAACTACGTCAGTAGATCCATGTTCGACTCATGGCTACTGCACTCCAAACCCTGATCCACTTTCATATAACAATAGCTTCATTCTGGAAAGTGATTAGATAATGTACAGAATTTACAACGGACTTTATTGCATCATATATATTCTCGTCGGTTAGGATCTTCAAATAAAATATAAACTGACAGTAGATGGTGTGAGGCAGTGCTGTCTCGTTTACAGCACAAATCAATCAATAATAATTATCTGCTTTAGTCCAAAAACAGTACTTATAATGCTATGACGTCTGATATTGATAAGACTTATCACTAGTACATAAAGAGACGTTCATTGGCATAAACAAAAATAAAATAGCAAGAAGGTAGATAGATTTGATGTCAGAGAAGGCAAATGATACAACGTTGTGGAGATACATGGGAGACGTTAAAGGGACACGAAGAAACACATCATGAAGGAACGGCATAAGTAGCACAACAAGGAAGATATGTGCAAATGGTGCGCTAAAGATAAGGTGTACATAATTTCAATATATAGCAGATTTGTTGGCTTCACCAGCGACACTGGCTGATCTCCATCCAACATCGCCAGATGCCTGCCCGTTGGGCTGACGAACTCTCCCACCAAACGTTCAACCAATACCTTCCGGTCCCCCTTCTTACCTCATTGCTCTCACTTCGCTCAACCCTTCAAGAGCGTTCTCAACACGACCACCTTCTCCATCAGGTCCTATACGCCCAATAACTCAGCCATGGCCTCGAAGTCCCCTATTAAACTCCGTATGTCTACTCCCTCGAGAGCATTCGGCTACTGGACCTTCATTAACTACATGCAGCGATACCAAATGTAACGGCAGAAAACAAAGAATTGGGATTTTGTATCTCAGTATAGCGAAATAATGTACACCTTATCTTTAGCGCACCATTTGCACAGATCATCCGTGTGCTGTGCTACTTCTCGCCTTCCTGAATATTGTGTTTCTTTGTGTTCCCTTCACGTCTTCAATGTATCTCCACAACGTTGTATCATTTGCCTTCTCTTACATAAAATCTATCTATCTCCCTGATGTTTGATGTTTTTATGCCGATGAATGTCTCTTTATGTACTTCTGATAAATCGTATCAGTAGCGCACACCATATTACTGCATAGAATTGTCAGCATTTATCACAATATTGTATCTCATTTACCCAGTATAAACAAAATTAACCACAGAGACGTTTCCACATTCACCACAGGAATAATACCAAAAATGTACAAGGCATAATATTAGAATAATAACTATAATAATAATGATTATAGTAATAATAACAGAACGCTTTCTTCAAACACTATTATCGTTACAGTATGGAAATCTTAGCGTGTTATAGAGGTATTGAATTTAATGTTCTTTTGGTATAGCATGTTCACGGGAAAAACCAAAACATGACCATTATTACAGAGTTAAAGGGCTATTTATAACTATGAAAAAACACGGGGACTAAACATGTAATAGGAATGATAACATAAAGATATCTGTTCTTTACCACCTTCGAGAAATGCACGGCATTTGGTTGAATGACAATTATAAGAAGTTTAGCAGAACATTTTGAGAACCAAGGACACAACTAAAACATAGTTATCCAGTATACTGGGATACGCTGCCACCCAGAATTATTCTTTTTCCATAGTTAAGTAGAAACTTGTGTTAGAGAGGAATTTTTATGCAATATAAGGAGTTAGTTAATTAAATTTCAGATTTTTTTGTCAATTTATTGGACCGAAGTGCGACTTCTTGTGCAGATGCTTCGACGATGTCTGTGCATGTAATTAGAGGTTAACTAGTGGATGATGGCTAACAGTGAAATGCAGGATAACGCGCATTTCGTCATATGTGGGACTCACCCGTCAGCTGGATGTACCCGCATTCCGCAGTTAGTGATGATGTTCCCACTGAGGCTCAAACCTAGTACCCGTAGTTTCAAACGCCAAAGCGTTATCCTGTAGACTTTCTTGTGGCTCTCGTGGCTCCAGTGGTCTAGTGGATAACCCTTCGGTGTTTGAAACTATGGGCACTGAGTTCGAGCCTCGGTGCTGGGAAAATCATCACTCACTACGGAATGCGGGTACATCCAGCTGACGGGTGAGTCCCACATATGACGAAATGCGCGTTATCCTGCATTTCACTGTTAGCCATCATCCACTAATTAACTAACCTGTAATACGGAGTTAGGTTTTTACTAGTTCAAGATTTAGGTAGGCTGCCAATAGTAGGCCGGCAAAAGACAGAATGTTCGGGGATGAGGAGAATTATCCTGGCAGGTAAAATAAAGCAACATCACTACTGCTTACACTTCAAGGCTTAAATCCCTAGGCTCCACCTGGGAGCCGAAGACTGGAAAAACAGTGTGTTTAGGAAGTTTAAACCGAAAGCATATGTTACCGTTAAGATAGGTACAATCTCAGAGGTACTAAAGAAACAATTTGACTCAACACTGCTTTATTATCACATTATTTTTTAGAGATTTCAAAGCGGAAATCAAGTTCTATTAAATCCCTTTTGTTTCATTCTTTTTTTTCTTACAAAAATATATTAGGTACAAGACATTTTCAAAAAGGAAAGATGTTAAATTAAGGAAAAAAATACTTACATGTAACTTCTAACTGATATTCTCCTTTATCCCATATCATATTTTTCAATCTTTTCCTCAGAGTATTTCTCAACTTTCTACAATCTGATGCACATGTGGAACCTTTATTCGATAAGAATCCTTGTAATGAGACATTTGTAATTTGATGCATTAGATCAGGTGTTTCAATACCAACCCAACATCGTATCCTTTTTTGATGCATTGCTCTATTGACAGTCAACTGTAGAATACTAGCATCATTTTGTAAGGCGATTAAACTGTGTTCATGTTTATTATCTGCATTACTTTTTGACTCTATTCGTGTATCCAGTATAACATTTAAAGGTTCATATTCCATTGAAGGGATTGAATTACCAATTGTCCAACTGAAAGAGGAAAAAAAGGTGTCAAATAGGAATGCATTTAACATACATAATAAAGGCATGTGAAATTAGGCTATTCTATAACAAATTTGCTAGTGGTATTATTGCTCTTCTTTTTATTGAAAAACAAATGAAACTTGGTACAAAATGGTGCCAAGAAGATGCGCTACACGATAATAATAGAACAACATATATTAAAAGTTAATATATAGGTGGAGAACGGATAAAGTACTTCCCCTGAAAGGAAAATAGTCACATTTAACGTGTTTTAACAGTAGTCGTCAACTGTTGTCGGAAAGAGAAGAAAGGAAGCAATTGCAGCACATTTGCCATTGATTGCGATTCTTGGCCACATCTAGTAAACTTTCGAGCCATGACACCATGTCATTAGCTGACCATCCCTCCACCTTTTCCATCGCGTCGCAGGGCTAGTGGACAAAGACCTGTACGGAAGCCTCTGAGATGGCATTCGTGGCACATTCCCAAGCCAGTGAACCTGGTGTTTCATGATGACGAAACTCAACAAGTGACGATATCCACTATGTCCAAACAAACACCACCGCATCTAAGAGTTACCCACACGATCATGTCATCGAACTTAAGCAATCCTACAGAGAGAACTATGACCGAATGCGCAAAGTCGCCAAACACTCTCAGATTGGAGAGGCCAGGCTCCACAGGCGAGCAGTGAGACAGCACGCACCATAGCTTAGTAAACCCGGCCTTTGATAAAGTTGCAACGGCAGCAGAGGTGAGTGCTCAAACTGACACATGCCAGCCTAGCTTTCATGATACGGTTGGAAATCTAGGCCATCATACCTCGCCAGCACTCACACAACTACCAAGTTACGCGAACTTACCCGGCAGCTTACCTGCCAGAGTGAGTGCAGGTACAGGCTTCTGCCAATCTAGTAACAGTACTTTGCAATTGGACGTCTCGAAGCACATACTATACTTACAGACACTGATCGCAAACTGATTAAGTGCGATTCGGGTAGCCTGCATGCTATCTCACAGCAAGACGATATCGTCTGCATACTACAGGTCAAAAGGTCTTTCTCTAGGGAACAGATGTACACCATCGCCAGCACCCATGTCCTTCACAGCTGACTCCAGAATGTCATCGATGGCAAAGCTGAAGAGAATTGGGCAACCCTGTCTTAACCTAATGTTAGTGTTAATATTGACTAGCCAAATTAGATTTGATGCCACCTGCTTAATTCATTATGAAATGGTAGAAGACGAAGGATTGGTAATTGAAAGCATATTTCGGTAACTGGTATCTCTATCCAGCTAAATTATGTACACCTTATCTTCAACACACCATTTGCACAGATCTTCGTGTTGTCCTGCTTCTCGCCTTTCTGCATATTGTGTTTCTCTGTGTTCCTTTCATGTCTCTAATGTATCTATCTCCGCATCGCTGTATCATTTGCTTTCTCTGACATTAAATCTATCTATTTCACTGCTATTTACTACTGATAAATTTTATCAGTAGCACTCGCCACAATAACTCTTGGATAGCAAGAAAGCATTTGTTGAAATAATCTAATACGCCGACATCTAGCGCAGCGTTAACCATCAGTTCAATCACCGATTCTTTTCCTTTCAAAAAAACTATTTTTAATGCATTATGTGATGGACTAAAAGCACTGAAAATGCTAAGGAATTCCTAGCGACCTGGTATTCAGACAAATTTGCGATGATGACAAAATATTTGTCCTTATAACGTTAATTAAACACCAAGAGACAAAATAGGTTAAGCATTTTTACAGTGTTCTAGGAAATGTATAAGCCTTAGGGAATATGGAATTAATAGAAACAGTAGGCGGTTAAAACATTACGTAACAAGGTGGGAATTATGACAAAAAAGCAATGCACTAAATCACATTGAATTAAATAAATAAACTTGACATGTGAGATAATCTGAAGTAAGCAACAACTGTGAAAAATGAAGCATTTCGTCAATTCTTATAAATTTCGGTAGAAGGACTCGTCTAGTTGGCTACTCTTCTACTAACACATGAAAACTCTGAGAGCAACAAATAAGCCTGATACTTATACACAGCAGATAAGCACAGTGGCAGTGTAATATGTCAGGTCCTCTGATAAGATCATTCTCAGAATATACAGTCTATGATTCCTTCCAGCCCACTCAAAAGACTGCTAAAATGGATGCCGATGGTATGCACTTTGTTTCCTTCGATGTTATTTCACTTTTCACGAATATCTCCGTCAGTAAAACAATTGACTTTACTTGTAATAGGACAAACGAATGCCCCATAGCTAAGCAATGTATGAGGCAATTATTGTGTATATGTACTAAAGAGGTACAGTTTTCCTCGAGTAACGAATTGTATTTTCAAATGGATGACGTAGTGATGGGAAACCCATTAGGGTCCCTGTTTGTAGATATGTCCCCAGCAAGTTTAGAATATACTGCCTCGTTTGGAAAAAAAATTATTTTTATTATATTATTATTAAAGGAGTGTAAAGGAAAAGCCGACAAATGCCCACGGTATATGGATGACATGTTCCTGGTATGCACAGATAAGGTCAAAGCCGAGATAATGTTAGAAGAAAAGAACAAGAAGTTCAGCTGCATCAGCCAGCCCCATAAGGGTTCGTCGCTGACGAAATCTCAGCACGGATACAAAAAACTCGTTAGGCATTTTTCAGACAAATAACACCATCTCTAGTGTAGACGTAATATCCGGCCGTCAACAAAAAGACGTGTATTGCTCAGCAGTCCGCCCGATCCTCCTCCTTTATGACTGTGACCGACACATGGTCAATGAAAATGAAAGACATGAAGAGACCAGCCAGCTGTCTTTGACCACAGGTGTCTGTGTTTCATCTCTCGTATGAAGTGGGGGTATAATAGGGTGAGCAATATTAAGGTTAGGCATCGACTGCTAGGTAGGTGGGAGAGTAAATTAATCAACAAGGTTGTGAAATTACATCGACTGAGATGGTAAGGACATGTATTACGCATGCCTGGCCATTGCCTTCCTCGACTGACTGTCAATGTTAGCTGACATAAAATGAATCAGGCTGGAAAAGATTTAGATACTGGTGGTCAGACAAAACGCGGTGACATCAGGGAATGAAATACAACACAGTCAGTTTAAGCCAGCCATGTTGGGAGGTGGAGACTTCCTGGTTGGATTCCTTCGAGTAGTAAGAACCAATGATGGCTTGAGACAGTCATCGGTTATATGGCTCAAAATCATTGTTATTAGTTGGCACAGATGCATCCACTCTTTGCGATTCATCATATCCAATAAAATTTTAGTGTTCTTCCTTATTACGTTTCTTTTTGCCTTATGCTTCTGTCTGTTACCTCTCTCTATTTTGTATCTCTCTTTAATCTCTTCTCTTGCTTTTTGTGCTATATGAAGGGAGCGTAGGAAGTGGAACTACTGCACATCTGTGCGCAGTTGATCTATGTTGAAACCATTCAGTTAGTCATCAAGTCCACATTGATTTTAGATTTATAAAGGTCTATCTTGCTTTTTCAATCCTGCTTTAAACATCTTGATCTGTTCCGCCTGTAGGTGAGATGATGCTGCAAATTAGGCTCAGTGAAACACCTTACTTCATTCAAATTTCCCCTGTTAGCAGTGATCCTCCATTGTACAGTATTCGTGATTCTTTATAATCTGCATTGAAATTTAATGTACATTTTATTTTATATATATCCAAACCAAGTTCACTTTTACCAAATTGAAAAAAACTTGGGCATTGGGTATATGATATTCATTAAAATAAAGGTTTTTTTGTATTTCCCCAATGAATGAAAAACAAAACGATGTTGCTTTTACTGACGTTTCACTATTTAATGCTGCTTCTGATAGCTTTATCAAAGTATTATTAAATCAGAATTTACAAAATATCAGCTTGTATATAACACCTTAATCATCGTTCCTCAGTATAGAGACATTTTTCATTGTCCAACTGGCCTATTACCGAAAGTCTTGATATCATCTCCAGTTTATAAGTATCAGATACAACGCTATCACAAAGATGTCCACTAGGCATCAGTGAAATAATTAAGAGCTTGAAATTCTCTCTTGAAAGTTATTATTTCACATTTAAATGGAATTTGTGTAGATAAAAAAATGGTGTTGCTGGTGTCGCTGACCGCTTCATGAATAGATTCGAAGATGACATCTTTTCAAGCATACTCACTCCCAGAATACGGTCAAGATTCATTGATGATACTTTTGTAGTGCTAAAACGTGATCTACACAGTTCATTCCTGGAGAGAATAAACAGTCTATCTCCCAGAATCCAGTTTATTTAGGAAGCAGGTAGAATCAAACTTCTGTGAAATATCATTTCTAGACTGCCTTGTTAAGAGGAGGGAAAACGGACATTTTATTATATCTATATTCAGGAAGAAAACCCTCTCCAATAACAATTTAGATTTCGGATCATCACACACCATCAGCGTATAGGTTTCAGTTGCTTCAAGTCTTCTAAGACGAAAACACTCTTTCATGTTAACGGATGAGACAAGGAAAAAGAAAGAGAAATGTCAAACATTAATGAGACTCTCAAGCAAAACAATTGCCCAAAGAACTTCGTCAACAAAATCAACACCAGCAATAATTATGGTCGAAAATGTTTTCCGGAAACATGGACCTCGACAGCTGTCATTTCATATAAAACGGAGACGTCAGACGATATCAGAAGAGTGCTCAAAATTGATTTTGACAATATTGAAATAATCCAGAAAAAGCATTTCAGAAATCACGAAGAACGTTTCATATCATCAGAAGTACTTCATATCAAATGGAATCCAAATTGTCTGAGTAGGAATGATGGACTAAAATAGAATTTGACCCAGTTACAACATCCTCCTCCCCATGAAGTGACAAAATCAGTGGAACATAGGGCCTCAAGTTAGAGGCTTGAAGTTTCATTAGCATTGGTGTTTATTTTTACAGGATGGGGTTGCTAGCCTCAAGCTCAACCTTCCTTATTCACCAGTCTTATTACCAGCTAAGTGAGGTAACGAAGTGTATCTTTGGCCGGGGATCGATCCTCGAACCACATGAGGGGTGGTTAGCAAGCACTTTACCACTATGCCACCAACACACGAAATCTAATGTACGTTTTATTATAATCATGCTCATAAGATTAGTGATTTATTCTACTCAACTATTAACAAACCTCGCTTTCTCTCTATCAAGAGAGAAGTAATAAAATCTAATCACCCAATAAACCTTCTTTCTACATCTAGACAAAATGAATAAGTTGGACTCTAAAATACCTAAGACATAAAAAGAAGATGGGACGAACACATACAACAAAAATCCTAAAGTGCTCTTCTCAGAAATAAATAAATAAAGACGACAAAGTAAAGGAAAATAGTAGAAAGACAAAACAACAACAGAAAAACACACACCCTCAACAAAAAGCGGAATGATTAATTACGACTACTCGTCATTAATTAGGCCGGCTCAGCATAATGCCTAGAAGAGAAGAGACTAAATTATTTTATGTCTTCTTGTCTCTCCATTTTTGTCCTCGTCTTTTCTTTCATCAATACTTCGTTGAGTACTTACTTACTAACTTACTCAGTTACTTTTTTTCAATTAAAAGTTAGAAAAAAAGGAGAGAAAACTTGATTAATGTTATCCGTAAAAATACTAATCTATAATTTTCGTTGAAGAAAAATACGGTACGGCATCGTGTTATTAAGCTATAAGAAAGTACACTATGAGAAAAAAGTGATCGAATCAGTGTTCAGTGGAAATCTGAAGAAAACTTTGGTGTGATAAGCTTGAAGTCACTTTTGTATAAGGCGTATTGTCTATATCTAGTGATAAATCGGAGTCGTTGCGTCTGCGCCAATGGTTAAGCGGTAGAATATTCATTAGTCACGTCAATAGGTTCGAGTTCGGTTCCCGGTAGATACAGAGCGAAACCTAGCTTAGTTTACTTACCGGTAATAAGCCTGAAGAAATAAGGAGAATCTAGCGAAAGGTCAGCTACCCTATCCCGTAAAAAGTAACCTCACTCCAGCTTCTGAAACTTCAAAGCTTGGAGCTAAATGTTCTACACGGAACACAACGAATCCAAATTAAAGTATCCGTAATGATTGCAGGTGTACAGTAGTCGCATATAAATAAGCACATATTTCGAGATGGATTTTAACTAGATATATCATGGGAGCTGTTGTTAGATGATTGGAGGCAATCGGCTACAGGAAGCCTTAGGCTTCGCGCTAGTTGTCACTCATCAGCAAGGCGTATCTGCAACCTTTGAAAGAACTTATGTCCCTTCTGTGATTCGAACCCACGTCACCCAGTGCTGCATTCAGAGGCGTTACCACTAAGCGATTCGTGCTCGCAGTTGACCTCCTGTAGGATTGTGTTGGGCATCCCTTTTACTGGGCACTAGTCAATAACTAGTATAATTTGTGTGTGTCCAGTCCTATCTTTGATGTCGATTGAATTCTATCAGTAAAGTTTTCAATGTGGTCACCGTGCTGTGTGGCTCATCATCACAGTGCACTGTTAATAGCTCGGTGGTAATGCCTGCACCTAAGGAGCCGCGTGAAGCGGGTTCAAATCTCAGAACAGAAATGAGTTCCTTCGAGGTAGCAGATATGCCTTGCTGACTGACTTGTGAGTGCCAACTAACATGAAACGTAGATCCTGGTAAGGCTTCCTGCCGATTGCCTCCAACAATCTAATACCAACAATTCACAGTTCACAGTGATGGCAAGCCACTCAGCATGGTAGCCATGTTGCAAGCTTGTCTGATAGAATTCAATCGGCACCAAAGATATGACTAGACACATTACACTAATTAATGACTAGTGTCCAATCGAAAATATTATGAAAATACTAAATGCTTAGATCGCACTGTCCTTCTAAATAACGTGAATTCGGACTCCAACATTAAACTACATGAATTGGCAACTCTATTCTGCATTTTGTCTCATACAGGCAACAAAATTTCTTTTGTAGATAGGAGTGGATAGAACACTGAGGGCTTTTGTGTGAGGTAGAATTGAAACGATTCGTAGTGCCTAATCTGTATTGATTGATGAAATATGATACTGTTATTCCTCTTGATTTTACTGTGTGATTCACATAATAATTTTGTCATCCTTCTTTTTTCCATGTTCCTTTTTTTTCTTTTGTTTTATTTTATTTCACTTTGTTTTATCATAGTCTAACATTTTATCTAGTCTCCTACTTTGACAACATTTCACTCATCCTATGTCTCCATTATATTATATTTATATATTCACATTTCCAAATGTACTTTATTTTCCGATTATCTATTACACACTTGTAATCTGTTGAAATTTAGGTTGACCTCTATTTATCTAGTTATTCATCCATATACCTTCAAGAATTGTTTCGTAAGGATTGTATTTGTTTCAGGTCAGATCCCTACTAACCAAATCTTGAAAATTAATCTGATGCACTCTAGTTACTGCCTACAAGACGAAATCACCTGGAGTCGTGATGAGAAGTCGTGACCAGTGGGGTCCATCCAGTCGGGAGTGAGGATCAAGTTCCCGCCGGTAACACTGGTTGGTGGTCGCATTGAAATCACAAATTAGGCTGGCCATTCAATCGGGTCTTAGTGGCTGAATGGTATAAGGAAAGTCCTGGGTTCAAACCCTGACGGTGGGTGCGTACTCCCAGTGAGTCCCAAACTAGGACTCATATATCTAATCAACTGTGACTCATAATCCTACACACCAATATTATTATAGCACCTTAGTATTTCAACTCAATGTCAAATTTTAACACACATACACACACAAGAAAACTGATTGTTACTGTCCATTGTAATTCACTTATATAAACGATTATACAGCTAAGAAAATGGAATCGTCGAAAAGAGAATCTTCTCCGCAGAATTCTTTTTTTCTATGTCTCAATGTAGATTGTTAATTTCCTCGTTCTTATATTAACTCTTTGAGACCGGAATTGTTAATATCCCTTCTCAGTCATTTAAGTTCCTGGTAACGTAGGGCTTCAAAGTTTGATGTTCTCTCAAGCAGTGATGGTGTTACTCATTCTCACTGAATGGGATGGTTCGGCAGTAGAATGCTCGCCACTTATGCACAGGCATTCCTGGGTTCGATCCCCAACTGACGCACTTCTTAACCTCACTTAGTCAGGAGTAAGCCCAGTAAGGTACAGAATCAGGATGTACTGATAATGATCCGGCCTCGTAATCAATAACACAATCACGGCGCCTGAAACTTCAAGTCCCAAGCTTGAAGTCTTCTGTCCCACTTGGAATACAAAACGATGAGGATAAAAGTGAACGAAAGTTATTAATTTATCCCCGAGAAAATTACCTGACACGTACTCATGTATGCGTATGTGAGTAAGTTTACTCCACGGGATTCGTTCCATTGACTGATATTTCAACTTGTCAATAAAACCTGTGAATACTATTCACGGTTTTTGACTACAATTCCCCCCACGAGATGATTATCACTGAATCTGGATTTAATGTTTGCAGATTTAAATTTTATGAAATCAAAAATAGTGTTGTGCAATGACCCCCCCCCATACATCTTAAAGTTTGTAATCATGCAGTTTGTAGTCGATTCCATACAATACACTAACTCCCCTTCTCGGATAATCCCCAGTCAGACACTACACATCCCGATTGTGATTACACTTCAACTGTTTTGAAAAACTAAAGAGGAAAAACAAAATTTTTCTCTTCATAAAATAACTTATCACACATTTATCATAGAGTTTTTACTGCATAAACTATTCTTACCTATAAAGTGGTGATTTTGGATTCGTCTTAGTTAAACATTCAAAATTGACAGATTGACCTTCACGAAAATTTTGATATTCTGAATGATTTATGATATGTATTTTTACACTTTCGATATCTAAGCAACAACAAGAAGAAAATAAATGATGAAAACAAAGTTAAAACTAAAAAGGGGGAAATAAAAATAAAGAAAGACTGTTCCTGTTTTCGTTTAGTATTTCGTTTGTTTTGTTAAGAGATTTTTATGAACTGTTTATGTATTTTGTTAACGGGTAGTAAGTTTGATTTTTAAAAACAAAGAATTGTGTTTAGTCTGACTGGAATGCAGTTGAGGAGTGGTCAGTTTTCAAACATATAAATATGTATATATATTAAAAATTGTTTATATGAAGCTGGCTTATGGTCAAATTGATTATACAAGTTGTAGTGCATGCCAAGTGATTGACAACGGGAAAATCTTGGAATCCTTGGAAGACGTGAAGACGGGGGTAAGAGAAGGCTGACTGGCTGGCCGGCCGTCTGCCTACTCTCTTAAGTGGTTTTCCTGATTGCGGTTGACTGGATAATGTGACAGACAGCGGGGCCGGGCAACAAGGAGACAGGCATAAAATGCACCCATACAAAAACAGTTGGGGATCTGAAATACGCCGACGATATATATGTCTGATTTCCCACAAACAGGAAAATATGCAAGTGAAAAGCAACAAGTTGGCAGAAGAAGAATCGAGAAAAGATAGGACTTCAGGTGGACATAGAGATAACAGAGGTGATAAAGATCCCTGGTCAACAGCAACAGCAACAACAATAGACAAAAATCAGCTTAAATGGAAGAAATCTGAAAGAAGAATCAACCTACTTCACCTACCTATCTACCTGGGAAGCATCGTTTCAATTACAGGCTGACGGAACTATTGAGGATATCAAGGCAAGTTTTCATTTCTTTCAAGTCTTTGTGGAGGTCAACAGCATTCAGCATTAGAAATAAGTTGCGAATTTTCAACTCCAATGTGAAATCAGTGCTACTATACGGATCAGGGACAGCACCTCAAACAAACTACAGACCTTCATCAACAGCTTTCTCCATTCAGTACTACTCAAGGTCAGATGGCCGATCAGAAAAGATCAGTAACAGGGTGGTATCTTTGGCAATGAGCGAACCAACCCAGCAAGAACCGATTGTGCAATTAATAAGCAGGAAGAAATGGAGGTGGATGAGCCAACTTCTTAGAGAAAACCATCAAATGACATCACACCAGGCCATCGCTCGGGTGGAACCTGAATGGGAAGTGGTGAGTTGGTCGTCAGTGAGAGGATGACATGGAGGAGATGATGTGAAGAGGAGATCAAAGCATGTGGGCAGACGTGGAGCCAGACGGAAACGTTTACAGAGAACCGAACGTAATATAGGCGTGAGGTTGAGGCCCGCCTATTGATCAAAGTACGTGTATAGTGTGCAGTATTTCCGTTCAGTCCTTCTCATTGCTCTGAGATATGGCCACTGAAGATTGAAGATATGAAAAGGCTATCTAACTTTCAGTTGTGTTTCCCATCTTTAGTGGTATAATTTAATGATTAATATTCGGGTTTTCGGTGTAGAGTGCTAAGTAATAAAGGTAAGCCAACTGGTGAAGTTGTTAAGCTACGTCGATTAAGATGGTTAGTACATGCATCATACATGCTGAGCGATAGCCTTCCACGATGACCGATATTATCTAACATAGGATTAGGTCAGAGAAGAGTTAAAGGTGGTCAGACTGAAACCTGAAATCAGTCCAAGTAGTCTTTGTCATTAATACCCCGTGAAAAAAACTACATTCATGAAGAATTTCCGTTCGAACACTAATAAAAACAAGACAAGGAGTTCAGTAAAGCAACTCATTTCTACGAATTCAGTTTCCTCTGTTGCCGTACAATCGTCTTTATGTATATTTTTTCATGAAAGAGGGTAGTGACACAAGTGATGAGTTGTCGCAAACATGGTTACGTAAAAATCATAAAAATAGAATGAATGAGTTGTAATCAAGATTCAAATAGAAACGAGGGAAAATATGGAATTATGTAGGAGTTAGAGAAAAACAAACAAGTTTGTTTCAGCGGTGAGATTTTTTATTTTCAGCGATTTCATTTCGCTTTAGTTGTACAAATGCCTTTGTTTACAGCTTTTTCATGAAAAAAGAAAATTTCAGCGAAATCAATGTACCTTTATGAATATATATTCGACAATATTAATCAATATATATAAGGGAAGTTGAATAAGGGTAACAGAATTACGCAATGAAATTAAATATTTTTTGAATGAGTTGTAATCAGCGTGAACACAAACAAAGGAAACGTGATAATATACAAGAGCTCGAAAGAATAGAAGAGCCAGAGGAAGTTGAAAATCTTATTTGAAAACAACACGTCTATTGCCGTTATAGTAAAGGTGTTCAAAGTAACTTCTCTTGTGCGTAAAGAGATCCAGTTTCTTCACCTGGTTACCAAGATCTCCCACAATGCAAAGAAAGCAAAAGCCTATAGACTCTGCCAACGTGACTCTTGACTTTGAGATCTCTTTAAAGGTGGAATTGGTTGAGACCAAAGTGACTAGTGATGACTAGCTGTTCAATTATTGCACTCCTTATGGAGCTGCTTCTGTTCTTCTGTCATTTAGTTATGAGACGCTCTGAACTGTTATCTGAATGGTCAGATGCAGTAACTTATCTTACAAACCAGTGAGTGACTGGAGAACATGATGCTCATTGTGCCTACGTTGAATATTCTTCTCAAAGATACTGGGATCCGCCTCTTTATTGATATTACAAGTTGAGTCAGCCATTGAAAAATGTTCAGGTGAGGTTGCTTCTTTCATATTCTACAATTTCTAGGTTTGATATCTTCGTGGACATGCATTTTGAATGAAGGTTTCGTTCAGAAAGTTTGATTCGTAACTCTAGGAACCTTCTACAACTTCCTTTATATATATTGAGGAGTATTGACCATTTTATTTATGAGAATTGCCTTTTTTCATTTCTATACTCCTTTTTATGGATAAGCCGTGCATTTATATGTCTGTACAGCCAAAGAAAACGAAATCTCCAGGAAGATCTTTTTCTTTGAACTACCCCTCCTGTTTTTCATTATTGCTTAGATGGTGATATGTATGTGAAAGGACTAGCGATTTAATCGGCACATTATTGTAAAATATAAAAAGAGTACATTAGTAATATTTTTTATAAACGTATGTTAAAATTTTATTTGTAAAATCCCAGCGAAATCGAAATGAGTAATTCCAACGTTTCCCGCGTTTGATAAACTGGTCCAAACTTCTTCCGGGAAATTAATCGAAATTAAAATAACAGAGGTTGATATATAAAATGGACATCGCTTGTTTAAAAAAAATTAAACGCAGCACGTTGAATAAACTTTTTTTCATTTATTAAACAATATGTCAGGAACTATTAAGTCTTTCAAAGAGATTGAATTCGACGAAAATGATTTGGTGTTCCTGGACTGTTTAGTAAAAATAAAAACTAGATGGCCAACTTAAAATAAACATTTTCAGAAAGCCAACATATTTGGACAGATGCTTAGACTGCTTTACCACCAAATTAACTGTGGCCGAGTATCCAAATATTAGAGTCAAACGTCTAGTTACTGAGGAGGAAGAGATCAGCAGGAAACTAAAATTGGTTCAATCCACCCTTGAATCAAATAATTATTTCAGAACCTTCAGAAAAAGATATTTAAAATGTGAAGATAAGGATGGATCGAAATCTGTTGCTAGGAATTGGGATAGCGCAGTAGTGGTGCCTAACCACAAAGACACATATGATAGAATAAAGCAAATCCTTGACAGTCATAAAATAAGAGTGTTTTCTCGTGCAACTAACACCTTACGCACATCACTGGTGAAGGTTAAGGATAAAATAGAAGAAGACAACCAACAGAATTGTGTATACCAGATCAGTTGTGTGTAGTGTGACGCCGTATATGTAGGAGAAACTTCCAGATAGGTGAATATAAGAGTGAAAGACCTCTGAAGATTTAAAGAAGCTAGAAAACAGATGAGCAGTTGCATTGCATTTGATAGAAATTGGACACAAAATCGACTTTGAGAGGATCAAGGTTCTACAGAATGGTTTTGGTTCATATAAAGAAAGACTGGCCGCAGAAGCCCTGTGTATATGGGCGAATCCCAACAGTTCAAACAGACGTGAAGGTGTTATGTTAGCTGATGCATGGCAAAACCGGATTAATAAGCAATAAATGGATATGTATCACTAATCAGTCATACATGATCCAAATTGCTGATTGTCTATATCTTCTTATGGAGAAGGTAACAAATGAGTTAAACTTTCAATAGTTGGCTTGTAAGGATTAGATTTTCTTTTAAGAGTTGATCACGGATTGATATCAGTTAGAGAACCAGTGAAAAACAGGGAGTACTGGACAGCTACTTCATCCTTGTTTGGGAATCTTCAGCAGTACTCACCCAAAGCCAGAGTTCGAAACCAGGATCTTCCGGTTACAAGGCAAGCTCATATACCATTCAGCTACTGAGACCTGATTCCCCAATGGCCAGCCCATGAATTCTAACTTCTACCAATTCGTGATTCATCGTGACTGGCACCAACCAATGTCATCGGTGGGAGATCCATACTCACACTTGATTGGATGGACCTCACTGGTCTCGATGTCATTGGTTGATGTCGCGCTAAATCACGAATTGGGGGAAGTCGGGATTCATAAGCCACTGAGTGGGGTTCCAGTGGCTGAATGGTATATAAGCTTGCCTTGTAATCGGAAGCCCTTGGGTTCGAACCCTGTCAGTGGGTGCATACTGCTGATGATCCCCAAACTAGGATGAAACAGCTATCCAGTATTCCCTGTTTATCAATGGTTCTCTAATTGATATCATTCTGTGATCAACTCGTCAAAGTGATTGGAAAATTGTGTCACCATACACACATGCACACACACCATTGTTACGGCATATACGATTATTTTTTTTGTATTCAGTTACTTACAACCATGAACTTCCATCGAACGTCATCAATAAAATTCTGATGAAAAGTACACTCTCTTTAAAGAGTTTGTAAGTCTGAGGTCAAATTCTGATCACAGCTCATACCACTTTGCTTATTATACATGTTGGTATCTGTTTCATGACTCATATGATTGTACAAAGTTTTTAAAAACAAGGGATGTCCGTTTCATGTATAAACCTTTATTATTTTAATTTCGATTAATTTCCTTGAAGAAGTTCGGACCAGTTTGCCGAACTCAGGAAACGTTAGAATTACTCATTTTATTCTCGCTGAGATTTTACAAATATAATTATTTTACACATGTCTACTTCGCACTCGGCGCTCAATTATATTTTGGAACTATTCAATCAAATCTTGATCACACTTCACATGAATAATATGTTTATATTTTGAAGAAGTTTTTCAAAAAAAAGTAATACATATCTTACACATTGGTTCAAGAATTGATGTTATAGTAGGCAGTTTCGCCGGCATAAAATCCTCTGAGTTACTGACACCACAATCCAACTGCCAGCCTTGAAATCTTCTTTGAACTAACAGTGTAAGTTGGCTGTGGGTTATTTGCCTATACAGAATTCAGGAAACAAAAACACAGAGGTTAACAATTATTGAATTAATTATAATCAGGTTAAAGTATTGATACAGGCTATTGGTTCAAGGGTAGAATGCTCTCCAGCTATGCATGTGGTTCAGGGTCCAACCCACGGCCAACACATTCCTAAAACGTTACTTAGGCGGTAGTAAAACCACTAAAACCGCTGGTAACCCGAACTGGCAAGAACAAAAAACCACTGCTACCGAAACGTCAAAGCTTAATGTTCGAAACCTTATAGTGCACTCGTAAAGTAAAGGAATAAAGAAAGTACTTAGATGAGATTAAGACTTAATTTCTAAATAACTATCTTTATTATTATTTCACAGAGTCAGTGACACAACGGCAGAATGCTCGCCGACCATACAGGTGGTCCAGGGTTCGATCCCTGGCCACAGACGCACTCCTTTACCTCGCTAAACCGTCAATACGACTGGTTAAGAGGAAAGGTTGGGCATGAGTCAAGCAACCGAAGCCTCTGGCTTGAAGCCCTATGTTCCACTGGGAACGTGAAGCAATAAAAAATATATATAAAAAACTGCTATTTCACAATAGTATTACATTAACAGTGAGAAGAAATTATCGTCCTCCATAGAATGTCGACTGTTTAATCTTCTTACATGTTGAGTGACATAAATAAAAATCATGGAGAAGATAAATGACAAGAAGACTGACCAAATAGTTGTAGAAAGTCTGCATCAAACGTACACTTTGTAGCCTAGTGATCAGTAAATATATTTCAAAGAAAATGGAGGAGGACTGGACATACACTGAGGAGACTGTTGGGTGACATCATGAGCCAAGCAAACTCACGAGTGGTAATCGAATGAGAAAACACGAGTTGAGCATAGGTGATATGGAGGTGATCGTGTGAAGGGGAGGACGAGGTGAGAGCCTATAAGAAATTGTGAGTTAAGCTAAAGAAAGCTACAGAGAACAGGACGAAGTGTAGATGTGGTGTTGAAGCCTTATGTTCCACCTGGAACCCGATGAATTACTAATAAGATTCATAAGAGTTAACATGGACAATACAAATTGAAAATGGTATTTGCAACCATTGATTTCTTCAGACTCAATTGATGTCGAAGCAGATTTCGTTATCAACCCTAACCTGCCTTGTATCCTAAAACTTTTGAACTCTATCGCCTATAAGACTGTGGGAGTGAATTGTCAGAGTGTCTTAAGAAATATCTGTCAAACGATTTCTAGTGTTCAATGATTTTCTAACTGATTTTGGTTTAAAAGGAAGCCAGAAATTGGGTGACTTAAACTGATTCGGCTTCCTTAGCTGAGTCAGACAAACTGTACCATTGATAGGCTCCGACCAATACGAGCGAAACCGCACTCTGACCAGTCAACACTACAAACTGATGTGACCTGTATAAAATCCTGTTTGTAGACAGATCTCTTTTCTCAACTTCACCATTTTTGAAGTCAAGTGAAATTACTTCCGCAGAGATTATATCTTTTATTTTGATTTTATTTTTTATTTTGATTTACAGCTTGATTCCACACCGTATTTTCAGTACGTGTGGAATTTTCAGCATGGATATCGGTAGCCCAAATTCAGGCCGACCATAGATATCGGGTGTGCGCCGGCAGGGGATCGAACCCCGGACCATGTGCATGGTCGGCGAGAGTCCTAACCACTGTGCCACCGACGCACAGCTACTGGCTGACTCTACACAGGAAGTTACACATAGAGTTCTAGTGAGAAGTCACGTGACCAATGGGGTCCACCAAGCCAGGCAAGACAACACAGTTACTAGGCGAAGACATTGGATGACGGTAGAAGTTGGAATTCATGGGCCAGTGGATCGGGTCCCAGTTGTTGTCTTTACCTTTTTATGCTTTGACACCCATCCGAGTAATGTTTTAAAAGTAAATTCAAGTGCTGTTTAAATTTTTTTAAATAAGAGCCAAATCGGTGCTATTGTACTAGGTGACATCTCAGATTAAAGTGGCCAAAATTCATCTTGCCTCTATCAGCTGGATGCTTCTGAGTCCCGAGGCTTGAAATTGTACCCGGGAAAGAGTAGAACTAAGGATTATCATCTCAAACACTAAGGAATAACTCATTCAATTACTGAGTAACAATTGTTATCTTATGGGGAATCAGTCTCACTTATCATTACTTGATGTTCATTATTTTGAATACTCAGCAGACAGGAATGCTCTAAAACCTTAAAGATCGCGAAAATTCCACATTTTACCTATATGCCAAGGTCAGTCATTTTATATTTTAATAATATATTTGTGGAAGACATGCAACTTGAAACGATTCTGTTTATAGTGTATTAGATACTAGCGTTTAGGAAATTCACTTTGGTTTCTGCTTTTGAACTGGGGGGGGGTATAATATTCGAATGCCTATTCATGCCTCGAGCTACTCAGATACAATACAAAGTTGTGCATATATAGTTTTTTATTTTTTTATTACAGCTTGATCCCACACCCTGTTTTTTTGGTACACGTATGGAATTTTCAGCATGTGATATCGGTAGCTTAAATTTTGCAGGCCGACCATAGATATCAAATGTGAGTCGGCAGGGGATCGAACCCCGGACCATGTGTGTGTTCGGCGAGAGTGCTATCTGCTGTGCCACCGACGCACCAGGTTACATGCTCGTGAGAACCTGATAACATTGGCCGTACCATGCGGCAACTTGAAAAACGCGCTGGTGAACACTATCAAGTCTAGCTGGTAAAGGGAGAACCAAAAGGGGTATGTTCTTCATTGACATAACATCTCGTCAATTCAGGACATTCAGCGCCTTTGGAAAAATCCTTCAAAATCATATGCAAGATTCGATCAAACCTATGGAAGGAAGTAAAATCAAGACATCTGGGCATAGCCGAGGCACTAGATATCCAAAAGCTCAAACCCACGCTATGCATCCAAATGAAATATGTCCAACCCTCGATACTACCATCGCCATCATAACCAGGTAATTCTCTTAATATTGACTATCCCATTGCCTTTCTTATTCAAACTTCCTGTTTGTTAATGTTATTTTTAAGTTTTTCTTAATCCCTATTTACTCTACCATATTTTCACATCCGAACTTCCCATCTATTTTGTCATTTTATTATTTCTACACGTTTAATCCCTAATCGCACAATATGTCAATCTTCTAAGTAATTAAGATGCTCTTTTGCTTGAGTTTTATCCGCCCCCCCTTGTTTATTATAGCATTTTATTTCCTAATTGTAATTTTATTAATCTGACTCTTGACCGGAAATTAATCTGGAACTTTCCCACCCATTTAATATAAATACATGAATGTACATCCTAGTTGATTACCTCGTCGAAAAGAAAATTTTCTTCGTTGTAACCATCTTTTTATTATTCCCTATAACCAAGTGTGTATGTTTCGTGGTTTGACAAAGTCTCATAAATTCACTTCTTCCCTCAAACGTCTGAATTCATGTTACCCTTATTGAATTTGCAGTTTTCTTTAATACTTTCTGCATGTTGCGTAAATGGTAACCATAGTTCCGTGAAAAAAAACATAGGAAAATGAGGATTTACGACATCTACTCTCTGAAAATCTGACCTGTTGACTGAAACGTACCTCTACACCTACATCACTAGACAACCGCATTACCGCTTAGTAAGGACAATATACCGGATGGTAGCAAAGCTTTGCATCATAGAAACATCAGAAAACGAAACTGGTCTCACGAATGAATGTTTAAGGAACAAAAGATTTGCAAAACAATTCCTAAGGAGGTACAATAAGCGTAGCAGGAGGAATGTGGAACGCAGCATCATCAAAAGGAAACCATTATACCTTAAATGAAGATCCGAAGTTAGTGAAATCGGCGAAAGAATTGCCAACTGAGTAAAACACATACTGTCTAAAAAGTATCCAGCCTACTGATGGTTTCTACGTTGTAAACCAATCTGTTCAGTTAAGCGATCCAATATGACTCTTGTTAACTTTAACTATATTCGTGAGATCACACGTGCCTACAGTAATACGGAGGTGGAAAGGACGGAGAGACGTTTGTCTTTGGAATCATTGCACACATATCCACGAGTCTGTATCTTAAAGATTTAGCTATGCTTAAGAGCGTCAAAGCTAGGCACCTGGCTGGTACAAGATACCTGGTCAATACGTCAGAATCATTAAAGATACTTAACAGATGAAGCACTTCTCGACTTTTCTGAATTATTGAAGCTGTGTCTATTTGAAGATTGAAACCTTAATTATATATGCAAAATGAGACTATTTCCTACTTATTACAACCTTAATAGGCACTGACTTTTCACCTAATCCGACCGAATTTCCATGACGTAAGTTAGTATTTGCATTTATGCATTTTCTTACTAATCTTATGGATACCCTTAAGATGTTTAACCTCTTTCAATTTGTTCGAATAATTTACCATATGACTATGAAACTGCTTTCACTTATGTATTGATTATCCTTAAGTTCTAAAATATTATTTCTCTAACAACATATAATGTCTCCTTTATAGTTATAATTGATTGTCCTAACTTCCCTCATACACTGTACATTGTCACCCTCCGATACCCAACTTCCGTTTCCCACTAGGATTCCTCTAGCGATGCTGATTTGTGATGTCACTTCACGTTTGCTCCAGATTATTTTCTACCTGCCTCCAATTTCTTCTGCTCATTTGTTGAGCCATTGGCGATTGGTTAAAGTTTGTGTAAAATATGTCGCACTGATTGCATATGACATTATTCTGCTTAAATACAGCTGTACACCGGTGGCTCAGTGGTTAGGATGCTCGCCAACCATGCACATGGTTCGGGGTTTGAACCCCTGGCGACCGACGTACTCCTTTACCTCGCTAAGCCAGATATAAAGCTGGTGAACAAAGGAAAGGTTAGGCATGAGGCTAGCAATCCCATCCTGTAAAAATAATCACCGCTGCTACAGAAACTTCAAGCCTCCAGCTTGAAGGCGCCGTATGTTCCACTGGAAACGTGAAGGAATTAAAAGAACAGCTGAGGAAAACCCTATGAAATATCCTAGTCCTGCAAAAGCTTTCTTTATTACTATATACGAATTTATCAATGGAATTGTCTGCATCAAAATGGAACTGGACTCTGACAAATGCCGTCTTCTTTCAGGTCATTTATCTACTGTTGTCTGAAAAGTCGAAATGTCCTCGATGAAATATTAATCTCTATAGAGTGATTTCCTTTGATGAAGTGCTGATGTTGAATATCCTTGGTGAAATCAAGTTCAACTCTCAGTTTCCAGTGATCAATAGTCATATAGGTCTTATCAACTTGTCCATAAATAGTCACAATTCAAATCACACATTTAACACATTTAAGTATCAACTTACATTTGTATTTCATCAGTTGAATTCTTTTCTTGTGAATCTTTTTCAAACACTTCAGTTTCATACAGTTTGTCATCTTTTTTCATCGCCAACAATTTATCTGATACATTCAAAATTTTCTCTTCAATTGAATATTGAATTGGATGATTCTGATTATTAGAGAAATATTGTGATTCACTGTCATTCATCTGCGGCTTTCCCACTCCCAGGAAATACTCACTTAAACCGGGATTTTTAAACAACAGTGTACCGGCTAAATGCCATTGGATTGTAGTCACGGGCTTTGATGGAGATGTTCGACAGGCAACAATTAACTGTTTATTTTCAGGAATCCATAGTTTGGGAGTGTGTTGAGGTGACACATCTGACTCGATAGATGAAACTTGACTCGTAGCTATTGTCTTCAGGGAGTTGATCTGTGATGTTGACTGTAGGTCAGAAGGTGGATTACCGGGATGGACTAGATTTTTATTATATACATAGGACGATTCAATTTCAGGATCATCAGCTACGATCCGACTAAGATCTCTATCAACTAAGGGATCCAATGGATCGTCTGTTGAATATTCATTATGATTATCACCAGCATAATTTGGTAAATGGATATTCGACAACATATTTACAGAATTTGCACCGTGTGACATTTGACCACGTTTATCTGAGGAGCTGTCGGATACACGCATCAGTGTTAATTCTGAAGGAGGATCTAAAATTTAAGAAAAGGCAATCGGTATCAAATTATGCTGTCAGGAAACCTTCATAGGGTCAGATAACAAACTATCCTATATTGCTAGAATATGGTCTGTCATTGGATTACTATGGGAGTTGTGATAAAGATTACTTGAAGCGTTGCCTCACTCATCTGATTCTTTACCTAGAAGGTGAACCAATGAGAACTTCAATAAAAGGCGATGAACAATAACCTCAGAAATTGATTTCGCTAAAAGTATGCCTAAAAACATGACGTAGAACGACTGTCAGTAGATTGTAACAAACTGGTAGGCCGAGCAAAACTGATTTGACTGGCGATAACATCTTCCATATCTCTGGCATTTGCGTTGAGTCACTTCTATTGCGTGTGTTGTGTTGGGTTTAGACTCGATAAACAAGGATTCAGTAATCAATCTCTCTCTCCTTCTACTTATATTACTTCTTAGAATTTGACTCTATCCCAACCACCCTATTGTGCGTTTGTGTGCTAATGAGTGCAGTGCAATCGCTGAGTTTCTTTCTAAATTACTTATCTTCGCGGGGTCAACCATTCTTACCTTAGCTAAATTTTTATGTTCTGACAATCTGACTACCCTGATCTACTAGTTTGACTTATGTAGTTGACTTCGCTCATAGTCATTGCAAGGTATGATATTATTTTGTCTAATTGGGTCAACCTATAGGATCCTTTAGCCTACAGAGCTTGTCCCATCTGAGTGAGTTTGTAGGTTTATATGCCACTCTAATCCCTGCTGTATTAAGAATCCTACGTAGTGTCTCCAATGTCCCTTCCTTATATGATAAAACTGTGGATAACTTTCATTCTTTGTTATTTATGTTATCATTACTAGTTTCACAGTTATTTTTATTTTGCCTTTGGGCTTTACTGATCTTTCTAATGAATGTTATTGGATAGGTAGTTATTCAACACCAACCAGCTATTCTTCTGTCTGTTTCATTTCATCGTTTAGGCCTTTCCTTGTGATACTTAGTGCTACCGCTTGGTTTGTTAGACACTTAACTAAGCCAGTCTTTACAGACAACGGATGAAATGAATTAAAGTCTAAATATCTATTAGAATGCGTACATCATAACATTCTAACTAGTTATTTATTTATTTTACTGTAAAAAGCATCTCATTTCCCATCTTATTGTATTTTATTGATAACACTAATATTATTATTTCTGAATGTACATTATCATATATTGATTTTTTCAAATGTCTAGTCATCAATTGTTACTCATGTATATAAATGAAGCAAGAAAGTTGTGTGAGTGAGTAATGCCTTGATATGATTATCAGCAATAGTGATGAATTGTGCTGTACAACACTGTGTGACTTATCAAAATAAAATATTATCTATAATGGAGTTATACTGTACCACAGTGCCCAAGTTTTATAATTATATCAAGCGATACTTCCTTTAAAACGAGTTACCACCAAACAGAGACTAACCGGTTTGGACCTTAGGGCTGAATAACCCACCTAGCTGAACACTTCCTACTTTTCATGAAGTCGCGGTTTATCGTAACTGATGCCACCAAATAAAAATGGTTAGTGCGGCACAATTTATGGACTTTAATAAGTTAGCGTAGGTAACTTGACGGCTATTGGGTACAAAGATAGCCACGATAAAGCCACCAAAAATGAACTTATGGGAATAATAAACTAAAGATTTGCAGAAAACGTCACCAATACACTGTATACAAATTATTGTGAGTAGCACACATTAAGACAGAAAGTTTTACCTGATTTCAGAACATCTGTCACCTAACTGTGAATACCAACCATGTAGGAAGATTGAGGATTAGTCTCTAAAGGCCTCACTGAGAATCATGTAACTTGGGAAATCGAACTGAACTTACAGGCTTATTGTTCTAGTAAATATTGGTGACAATTATTTTTATTCTGAATATCAGTCTGCAACTTACTGATCCCTACCGGATGGATTTTCCAAAGGTGCAGTGGAATGCCGTGACAACTGGAGTGGATGCTCATCGTGGGCATTGGTGAGATCATCGTTATATCATGAGTTAGCAAAGGTAGAATTCAGGGGTCATTGAATTACAGATCAAGTAACTCAGTGGTCAGTGAGCATGGTGTCATAAACATTAAGACCCTCAGCTGGACCCCTGCTACTGAGGTCGAGAGTTCATACAGCTGAAGATACCCAAAAACAGACAGAAACAGCTGTACAGTGCTTCCTGGTTTCCAGTGATCTCTCTAGTGGATGTTGGTTAGTGACGAGATTCTAAAAATTGAGATTTATTTATTTTAATCTTAAATTAACATCTATACCATACAAAGCCAGATGCCATGGGAAAGACATACGTACTACCTTCTACTCTGAAATGATGATGAGAATTTGTAACTGATATAGGTGTTAATGATTCTGGGGACATCACTCGTACCAAATTCCCATGAAACTTCATGAACTCTCTGATTGCCGTGCCTGGGCAGCGATGATTCGAGATGTTCATGAAGCCGGCTCATCCTTCCGTAGGAGATAGCCGAAGTAAAGAAAGAAGATTATATTCTCTGAAATAAATAGTTTAACTACGATAGTTTCGTTATCCTTCAAGACAATATCTTCATAGCTCAAGAACATAACTAGCGGTTAGTATGCCCAAAATGTGTTTCCTCATATCAATGCACCTGGATAACTAAAGATGTCAGTTCGAATAAGAACTGTCGAGATAATAAACACAGAAAATGGTTTGAAGATATTGATCACGGATTGATATCAGTTAGAGAACCACTGGAAACCTTTAGGAAGTACTGGACAGCTGTTTCGTCCTATTTTGGCACTCATCAAAGGAACGCACCCACCATTCAGTTCGATCCCAGTGGCTGAATGGTCTGTAAGGTTGATTTTAACCAGAATGTCATGGGTTAGAAACCCAGTGGGTGCGTGTTGTCAATGAGTCCCAGACTGGGACAAATCTGTTACTCAGTAGTCTCTGGTTTCCACTTTTTTTCTAATTGATATCAATCTGTGATCAAAATTTTGGAACAAGTCAAATCCTCATAAATAAACTCTTGAAAACAGGAAATGATAACGGTTTCCAGAGAATTCCTAGAGGCCTGACATTCAGATAAATCTTTCCTCGATAGACACTGATCAAATCTGTAAATCAGTGATGAAAACAAATCATATTGACGACACATCCATCCCAAATAAGAGAAATGGTTCGCAGCAAAACATGTGGCCCAGAAAAAGTGGATATGTCATCCAAGGGGAAATTCTGAAGGCTTAATTCAAACTGGAGGTGTTGTCCATGAGGACAGTGAAAGCATCACAATTGAATCATGTAACTCAGAGACCACAGTGACACCAAAAGAGTGTACTAGTCTCTTATTTTCACCAGCCGATTTTAAACCCTGTACAAATAACCTCGTCTAGGCTAGAATCAGGAAGACTCCTCAGTCCCAGGAGGGATGACGCTGATGAGTAAAAGACTGCGGGAAGCTTTTCCGCCAATGCGTCTTCTTTCGATGGAAAACAAATCAAGCTTGAGGACATCTAAAGTCTACAACATTTTTAAGCCTGACACAACTCCTCAGATTTCAGAAAAAATGAGAGGATTTAGCGAAGAAGTTTTAGTAATCTGTGGGAACAGACTGATACAGAAATGGAAACTCCAATTTTTTGACAAAAAGGAGAGTCGATAGTCTACCCTTGTAAATCAGATATCAGCCACAAGCACGCTGAAGCTGTGGCTGTTAAAGTTCATTATTCCATTTGTAAAGCAAGAAATGTATCCTAACACGCACCCGAATATTTGTTGATAATAAGAAATAGTTTTTTGAAAATTTAGAAAAAATAAAAATCACATCTAACTAGTGAGACTTACATATAACAGTCAAATAAGCTGGTTTACTGGTAATTGTATCCAAATATGGCGATGAACCTGAATTTGAATAAATTTTGATATTTGCTTGACAAATAAAACTGGCTTCATCTTCAAGTTGAGCATTTTTAATGTGTAAATCGAAATTGCCTAAAAACGAAATGGAATAAAGCGAAACCAAAATTATGTGAAATATGCAAAATATAAATATATGCATATGAACGTCAGTGGATTAGTGATGAAATTCTAAAAAGCCACGGAGGCAGTCCGGGTCAAACCCAAGCTGACAGTCTCTTGAACCATACCTAGATTGATAGCCACTAAAGAAGTTGATAAAAAGAGGAGAGGTTTGACAACAACAAGTTAACTAGCAACCTTACCACGTAAAACCAGCACCAGGGCTACTGACGCTGAGAATGGAAGAAATGAAGAAGAACACATATGTGTCGTAAAGTTGTTCAAAGTTTGATTGTAGACTTTACTGACAAAAAAATCAACAGAGGAATTTTCAAGAAATACTTTATAGGGACCCAATTTCTTCCAATATTTCCCACAGATCTATATCAATTAGAAGGCCATTTAAATTATCAGGGAGAACTGCACAGCTGTTTTGTCCTCGTTTTAGGACTCTTCAGCAGAACAGATTCGTGACTTCACCACCAGGAATGGAAACCGAAATCTTCAGATTACTAAGCCTAGCTCGGTCACCATTCAACCACTGAGAGGTAAGCAAATGACTAGCCCATTAGTCGTAAATTATATTATTAGTCAGTGTCATCGGCGAGTATTCATCCTCACAGGCGACAAAGTAGACCACATCGGTCAGGACTTCCCAGTGACACTCTGGGAAAATTCGTCCTGCAGCCAGCTACTAGAGAGCATCATTAGTTAACTTGTAGGCATTTGATTCGTTTTAAAATTGACCACGTATTGATGTCAGTCAGAGATCCACTGACAATCGAGGAATACTTCACATGTGTTTCACCGTGACTTGAGACTTCCCAGGTGACCCTGATGAGGATCGAACTCAAACCCGTATGAAGCTGCTATTCATTAATACCTGGTTTTCAATGACTCGCTAACCGAAATTAATCCGTCATCACAATCGAAACAAAGACATAACCTTCCAGCTACGTAAATCGTGTGAAACTTGCATTTTCTTTCAGCAGTTTAATTCTGATAATTAATGGTAAACAATGCTTGAATATGTCCGAAACAGCTTTTGTAATTATCGCCTAGTTTGACTGCAACTTTTATGTCCTAACTATATTTGATTGTTTTTACCTAGCAGTGGAATCTTTGGTGCATAATTTTTCCCTTCAGATGGTTGACGGCAACCGGCAGGAAGCCCTGCGTAACCTAGGTTTCGTCTTTGTTGGCAATGTTTAGTCAGCAGATAGTATATGTATGTAGTCCTGAATGAAACCATGTCCTTTCTGAGATTCGAACCCAGGTTGCTCAGTGCTGCTGCAGTTAGAAACGTCACCACTGAAGTTTTCGAACTCCTGATTGACTTTGTGTAGGACTTTAATGAATACTTTGATGGGACACTAGATATTAAATAGTATCATTCACCTAGTGCTTCGCTTCGATGCAGGCTGAACTCTATCAGTCGAGTTTGCAATGCGACCATCATGCAAATACGCCTTATTAAAGAATGCCAGCAAGCACAAAACGAAGGGCCACGTTTGTCTACCGATTACTCTCAACCATCTCACAATAATAATAATAATAATTTACTTTATTCCAAAAACAGTAATTATAATACAGAATGGAATTATCAGTATTTTTCACAATATTGCATCTGATTTACTCAAAATATAAACAAAATTAAAACAAAATTAACCGGAGGAATTTGTCCACATCTACGACATAGTTATTAGATATGATAATAATAATAAATAATAATAATAACAGTGAATTTGTTTCAAACGGTATTGTCGATTCAGTTTGGAAACTTTAGCATGTTATATATTATTGGGTCTAATGTTCTGTTGAATATAGTATAGTAAGGGGAAATACAAAGTTAACAGTCATAATACAGCTTAAAATTATGTCCACACTTATGAAAAATAAAATAAACAAAACGAAAAAATTGAGAGCATTATAAATATAAGAAGTACAATAACAATAAAGTATGATGCTTTAAGGTTGAAGGAAATGGTCTATTTAGTGGTGCTAGGAAGGTTAGTTAGTTCATTTCTGACACGATTTTCATCACATAAAGTACGTGCCAAATATGGTATAGTGGAATTTTTATACTTAGACGTACGTGCATAAAGTCTTCTGAAAAGACTTCTTGTTTTACCTGAGGAGACACAAAGTTGGAGCTGCTGGTAGAGTGGGTGCTCAGAGTCTGACAAAATTCCTCTAGCGAATCTGTTGCATGATATCAAATGCCTATCAGTGACAATGCCAACGATATGGCCCAATGGGATACCACTCGTCCTACTGACAGTCTTCAGAGTTCTACGAAGTATGACACATTCCTTGTTTAGCAATCCAGAAAAAATAATGGTGAACAGTAAAGAAGAATAGGTAAAATACACGAGTTGACAAACTGTAAGAGGAGTGGTTGGGTTATGCCTGAGTGCCTCAACTTCTTAATGTAAAAAGTCAGACGAAATATTCTTTGAGAAATCGCTAGGACATGAGAAGACCAAGATAGGACAGAAGAGAGAACTAATCCAAGATACTTAACTTCAGACTTGCTTTCTATATCAGTATCATCGATTTTGCAAGGGTTATAGGAACCAACGGTTTCATTTAACTTTCATTTACATCGGAAACTGAAATTAACACTTCAGAGTGCACTGTGATGGAGAGCCACCTAGCATATTGGACATATTGTACACCTGACTTATAGAATTCAGTCAGCACCAATACTAGTGACTGGACGCATAATATTAGTTACCATTTAGTGTCCAGTCAAAGCGCTTGGTTTTATCTGGAAATCTCCATGTGGATATACTTTCATTCCTTGTGAGTGATTGTGTTCCCAGTCAAGCTCAAACCTTGTATCCGTTGTCTCAGATACCAAAAGTGTTATCCACTAAACCATGTCTTGTTCAACAGACTTCGGTCATTATGTAATTTATTGAAAATTTCCCATTAATCTATTGTATTGGACAGAAATTATCTGTTAGCCGACATCATTCCGCGACCACACTTGAAATAAATAATAACATGTCCATTGTGAGACATCATTGAGTCGTCTACAACTAAGAGTCAGTATGTCAATGAAGACCGGACACTTCAATCCAACACAATTAGTCAACGGGACACACGTAATTAACTTAAACAGATTAGTTTAAAGTATGTTGTGCATCAGCTTGCAATTTATGGTTATATATTTCAACGTGATTGTAACTACTTGTCACACTGCGTTGTAGGCTATCCTTCTCAGTTTAATTCATCATCATTAAGTTTTACAAGCATAAATTCAGTCAAACATATGAGTGTAATTTGACATCCTTTCCGACGTGTTTGTCTTTTTTTTCGTTGTTGTAATTAATGAATAAATATTAGCTTTCTAAATGATTAAAGTGATTTTTTAAAAGAATTAGTACGACAGATATTACTGACAAGGATGCCTATAGTTTTATCATGAAGAGACTTTTAATCAAATTACTATTTTATGGCAATTCAAGATAGACGGTCGTTAATATCATATGATGGTAGTTTGTGACAAATACTGTCTCTTTCCTCTGAAACTGATTGAGTTCTCACAAACGATACATTCGATAATTACAAGAGTAATGTCTCCTTATAGTCCACGTATACTAATGAATAGTGGTATATTACTATTATTATAATTGTTTCCTTCAATTCCTAGAAGAACATAGGGCTTCAGCCGTGCCTCTCCATTGCGTTCGGTTCTCTGCTAGAATCTTTACCTAGCTCCAAGTCTGCCCACACGTTTTCATCTCCTCTTCACATGACCTCCTCCAAGTCACCCTTGCACTGACGACCAACTCGCCGCTTCCCTTTCGGGTTCCACTCGAGCAATGGCTTGTCTAGTGATGTCACTTGATGGTTTCTTTCCTCAGCGTATGGCCAATCCATCTCCATTTCTTTCTCCCTATTTGTTTCACAATCAGTTCCTGGTTGGTTCGCTCATTGCCAGAGATCTCTGTTGCTGATCTTTTCTGGCCATTCATCTGATCTTGAGTATTAAGCGTAGATAACTGTTAATGAAGATCTGTAGTTTGTTTGAGGTGCTCTTTATGACGCGCCAAGTCTCTGATCCGTATGATAGCACTGACTTCACATTGGAGTGGAGAATAGATAGTTATAGATATTATCTATCAAAAGTGTTATATTCAAGATTCAATGTTTCAAAGGCAAATAATTGCAATAGTTTTTTGCAACTTTTTGGCAAGATATTCCACAAAAATAAGAGTTTTAGGTAACTATGTAAATGTAACATATTAGTCCAAATAGTGGCGTAAGCTCTTCGTTTTCATGTATCGATCAGCTGAATTGACTCTTGTGTAGAGCCGGTATGTATTGGCCGTTGGTAAAGTTTAGTGCTCGGGAATACCTATCACTGTGGCCAAATAAAGATGCAGTAAAAGCCATCAACAGTTTGATATTAGACCAGTGGGTTCACCAACAGGCTCATCCAAGAGCCATTCTCTAGCACTTTTCGTCTACATAATAAATAAGTCATAGGCGACTCTAGGTACTACATGATTCACAAACAGCAGAGGCTATTGTAATGCTCTTAAAACAGTCTGAACTTAGCGTTCAAAGGGAAGAAACACGTCCAGCCAATATTGCTGCCCTGGACTGTTATGGAATCTATAAACTCATAGAGTCTGCATTCTTTCTCTTGATATATGTCGCTGCCAGTTATCATCTACAAATGCTATTGAATTGTAACCTCATGAGATCTTAATTATTCCGTATTATCTAAAATTATCAGTGTTAATAATGACAACAATTATTTAGTTATTATGGATGCGAATAAGTGTTTAATATATAAGTATACAACTTGGGCACTGTGGTAGAGTATAACTCAATTATGGATAAAATACTATTCTGATAAATCACACAGTGTTGTACAGCACAATTCCTCATTACTGCTCATAATCATATGAAGGCTTTACTCACTCACACAACTTTCTTGCTTCCTTTATATACATTAG